TTATGAAAATTGTATATTGTTATTTGTTCTGACGATGCCTATTGCATTTCATGCCTAATGGAAAATAAAGCATTTCATTTCATTACATAATATAACCTGTGAGGTATTATCGGATTAAATATCGATTTCCATGTGGTTCGATATATCGCTTATTAAATCCTGATTTCTAACATTGGCTGTTTCTAATCAGCTGGCAACACAAATAGGTTCCCAAGAAAGTAGTCACCGGTCCGTATCCCTCCGCTCCTTGTTAATGCTCCGTGCATTGAGAAAGTAGTTCCATATATTTTCTCAATTTTCAGTGAATTCCGCGCCTTAAAAAAATGTTTTAACGGCATTTTCATGTTTATTAAAATCATAGGAATGGTTTAATAACGTTTAAAAGAAAGTCTAGAAAGTTCAGAAATACCTTATGATTCTCTTGTTTATATTTTTATTGTAAACAAAAAAAACTGTCATGGATACTTTAGTCCCATAAGCCTAATGTTAAAAATTGGAAATTTTAAGTTCGATTTAAATTGCATTAGCATTATCTAATTGAAATTTGTTTGTTTAAAAACCATCTCACTATTAGTCTAAGTAATTTTGATAAGTTTGGCTGAAATGCGTTCAGCCTTTATTGAGTGATGTTTCTCTATTTGTTGCATTGAAGTTGATCCCAAAGAGCTTCGCTTGCTCCGCATTGACAGTAGCCGCTTAAATAGTATTTTCTCTTTGTAAAATTTTGTACAGCCAAAATGTCGTGTTATTTTCAATAATGTTACCAAACCAGTGCGCCAAAGTCCTTAATATAGGCAGGTGCAAATAATTTGTCAAGATGGGTACCATTTTAGACAAAGTTTCTATGTTAGGATTTTATTAGACACGATAAGAGCAGATATTTCTACATAAATATTTGATATGTGTGGTATAATATGATAAAATATAGGCAAAAGTGGTGAAAAAGGCAGACACCAACCCGTACAAGTGATATAAGATAGTTCAATAAGAAATAATTTGAGAATTGCTGTGATAAAAGGACTTTCCACTGATTTCGTAATGGGACGTTATATTGCAAAACATGACATGATAAAGAAGAAAATCAATTTTAAAATCCGAAAATAACATTGCAAATACTTATTTGGTAGAATTCAGTAACCCCAATAAATGTGTGTTGTTTGAAATACAATTTAAAAATGAACAGCTGTTTCATTAAAAAGTATTATTCACATGGCCAAAATTTAAACAATTCTGTGGAGGGATCTTTAAAGGCTTCTGGGGCAGAGTCCTAAGTGATTATGATTAGTTTTTCTTTTGATAACTCATCTATAAGACGTTTCTTTCGACACCTCTACCAAGTTTCTACGCCCAGCCGTTCTCTCACATTAGTGGGGACAAAGTTTCCTATTAAATATTTAGATTCCCATGGTAATCTTATGGGAGAAACTCCAACTTTGATGGCCTGTGGGGCAAAGCCCGAGGATTTTTATTACAGGAATTGGTGAAAGGGGGTGTCTACACAAAAAATACTTTATTTTGACACGTCGTTTGTAAAAATCCGTCCATTATTAAGGAGGAGTGTAGTGTTTCGTAGAAATCGCCTTCACGTATTATATATAAGGATAACACGTAGAAATAACCAAACACTTCATGACTCTACGCAATGTACAGACAAAACAGTAAAGACTTCATAATCTTATAATTAACTATAGTGTTTCTGCCCGTGCTTCGCAACGGGGTGAGAATCTTTGGGTCTCTAAATCCACCGTAAAAAATGGTATATTTCGTACCTAGGGCCGAAAGTGAGGTTTTGCCGACTCGAGATAGGGTTTTAAGTTCGAGACGAATTCGAGAACGTGAAACAATCGAGAGCTGCAAACCCATTTTGGCTCGTGGTACGAACGCTATTTTTCACCCAAGTATGTTTTGCAATATAACGTCCCTCTTATTTATCTGAAATATTTTGAGGAATCAGCCAAATCAAAAATAACAATAAATAGTTGTCTAGGCAGCTGTGACAAAAAAACAAGTCTATTGCAATGCCATGGATACAGCTTGTGCATTTAATATACATTATTGTTTTAAGTAAATAAGCGAACAATTGATTTTGCGGCCCTAGGGATGTAAACCCCTGCTCGGCCCCTATATGACGATGACAGCTGGCATGACCAGCAAAACGTAACTTTAAGCCCCCAATTAACGTATGTAAAACAGCTAAAAACATCATAGTGTGGTGAAAAATTTGTTATGCATACTTTTACATTACTATGAATTAATTCTATGCGTAAAGAAAAAACTTGTTACAGAGTCATACTTATTGCGTATTTTAATGTAAATTTCTTGTATATTCCCATGAAACTGATAATTTACCCAGCAAATTAAGGCCTTTAATCCAAGTATCTAAGTTCGTAAACCATACATACAATGTGACGATAAAATATCAACGACATAGCATGTAGTTTTATGTAATCCTCACAACATTTCATTTGGTCCATTGACTTTAAATCCAATAATTGACAAAATTATTGGAGCTTGGAAAAACTGTATGTAAAAAAATCGTTACACTAATAAAAGACGACGTGATGAGCGCGGGCAATGAGCTACAGCGGCTAGGGCATAGCCACATGAATACAGAACGGAATGAAGGAACTAGAACGGAGAACTGGCAACAGCGCACGCGAAAAGTAGGGGGGGCAAACACACCGCTCAAGCGCTACAACGCATTAGTGGCATCCTGTCCACACACTGTTGATATATACCGATTTGTGGCAAGGTGCCACAATTAAAAACAGGAATGTTAGATGTTAAAATGGAGTGTTCATTAAAAATATCAATGCACACATGTTTCTACCACTTTCCTTCATCCACTGGTGGCCGCAGTTTGAAAGATGCCACAATTAGGTGTTTGCGAGTATTCGGTAAAACCCCGTATGTGTGTCTGGATGTGTAAAGAGCTACAGACCACACCTGTAGTCCGATTTTGGCAAAATTTGGTGTGTAGGTACTAGCCCATGATATCCCCAGGTGTTTTTTTCATTTTTTTTTATTTTAATTTTTAATGGGGATTTTCCCATAAAAACCCATAAAATAACGAAAAAATCGAATTTTCTCAAAAATGGCCCAAAACGATTTTCATGAAAATTTTGTATGTTGTAGCCCTTTAAATTCCAAACAACATAGTGCAACCCCCAATGCTGTAAAAATTGTGGTTCAAAAGTTATTGTAACTTATGTTATTTTCCCATAAAACACCAATTTAAAAACGGAAAAATTGATTTTTTGAAACAAAAACCGATTTTGATTGAAACTCTTCTGTTATAATTCCAAACAAAATAGTGCATCCCTTCATTCCTGTTAAAAATTACTGTTCAAAAGTTAATGAAACTTTTGTGATTTTATCTATTAAATATCTTAGTTCCTCCCATCGTTTACCCATGATAAAGGTTGTTGACGGGCTAATGGGAGAAAGTATGTGTCAGATTAGGGCCATGTCATACGAGCGCTATTGCCGTCGAGCAGATGCCGTCGAGATAGTGCCGGAAAAAGTACATGTCATACGTGACGGCAAATGCGTTGCGTTGATGCCGTCCCGCCAACGCCAGGTAGGCGTCATACGTAGCGTCTTCCGGGCGCATTTGCCGTCGCGGCAATTATGTTATTACCAAGATGGACACCATCCAGTTAGGTTGTATCAGCTTTTTGCACATTTTAGATACATATGAAGAGTATTATCGCAAGAATCCAAGACGATGGGGAACCCATCCTGTGCTTTCTTCTCGTTTGTCGACAGGACGGATTCATCTGATGTTCCAGGAACACAGGAAGTATGAAGATCAATTTTTTAGTTACTATCATCATGACTACTGTCATCTGATTCCAGTTTTCGTGCATGGCCTCCTCAACCTCGTTCCAGCACTGTGCCTTCAGTTGCCTGTTGCTGTAATCACTCGACTTTACATCGTACAGACAGTGGCAGTTTTTCAACTAAATAAATAAATTTTTCCGTATTAAACATCGTATCAAATATCGTAATGATCACTCCAAAGGTATTCCAGTTTTTCTGACAGTGCTCACGCGGCAAATGCGTCCCGCTGGCGCTAGCGCTCAGTATGACAGGGTCCGGCTAACGCGGACTCGCCGACGGCAATAGCGCTCGTATGACATGGCCCTTACTGATAACGTTTATTAAGCTTATTACAGTACTGTATCTAGGCTACTTACTGGTATGTAATCTTATTGATTACATAGATTTAATTTTTTTATAAATAAGCACAAAATATGTGAACATTCAAATATGAAACCTAATTGGCTTTATAGATCTCAGTTTCTGTAAAAATTACTACTTTCAGTCAGATAATCATATCTGGTTAAGTATTACATCTAGTCCCTGGCAAGCCCTCAGATCTGGTGCTCCAGAATGCCAGATGCTACTAGTAGTGCCTCTTACAGGATGATAGGTGGGGGAGAGGGAGTACATAGAATACGCCCTCAGTTTCTAGATTCAGCATACACAAGTTGTTGTACAAAGAGTTTGGACCTACGGGTACTCTGGATACACCCAGAGAATATTTTCTAACCAAAGAGACCAGCAGGAAAATTCACACTTTACTAACTTATGTCTACTGAACAAAGGTCTTGATAAAAAGCATATTGGTAATTTATATACCTGTTACAGCTATTTACAGTTAAGTTTGTAAACTACACTAAAAACAAAGATGGAGGTTCTTTTGTGTTATAGTACAAACCTATATCATTTGGCAAACAAATGCCATTGAGTACAATACTTTAACTCAAATGATTGTTTGACAAACAGATCATGTCTATACAGACAACAACTAAAATGAAAAGATTAGTGCAAAAAGTTACATTCCTAACTACACAGACACTATTAGATTAACACTATAATATCAAACTATCAACAATGCTCAAATCTTTAATGTAACATCTATAAATAGTATGAAAGAATCACACAAACTAAAACATCAACACTTTTAGTAAAACAAAACAACAAACCAAACTTACCTTCTTCCTCTGACAGGTCTGAGAATTTTATTCCACCACTGAAAAAATAAAAAAATCATATTTAAATAAGTTTTTAGAGGAAAATTAAAATTTATAGGAATATTATAATAGGCTATACTTATTTCGTTATTCAGTCATAGAATTAGTACAGTAATTAAAAGATCTATAGGCTACTATAGATAAGTTGACCATTAACATGTCAACTTTATTATCTATATATTAATTTGAAACTGTTTTTCTTTGTGACAGCTAATTTGAGAGAACGGCTGGGCGTAGAAACTCGGTAGAGGTGTCTAAAGAAAGGGCTTGGTCAGTAGACGAGCCATCAAAAGAGAAACGTGGTAAATTCCCTTGGGGCTCTGCCCCAGTGGCCTTTAAATCCCATCCTATGTTATTCTTATGGGGGAAAGCGGGTTTTTGTCACATCTAATTTCAGAGAACGGCTGGGCGTAGAAACTTGGTAGGGGTCTCTAAAGAAAGGTCTTGGTCTGTAGATGAGCCATCAAAAGAGAAACAAGGCAAATTCCCTTGGGGCTCTGCCCCAGAGGCCTTTAAAGTTCCCTCAGCAGATTTGTTTACATATGTATAATTTTACACTACTTTTGAATGAAACAACTGTAAATATTTAAATTGTGATTTACTGAATTTGTCAAAATGAAGTATTTGCAAAGGTTTTTTCTGATTTTAAAACCGATTTTCTTCTGCATCGTGTCATGTTTTGCAATATAATGTTGTAATGTTATAATGTGTAATCCAAATCAGTGGAAAATCCTAATATCACAGTAACTCTTAAAATTATTTCTTATGGAGTTAACTTATGTCTATTGTATGGTTTGGTTTCTGCCTTTTTTTACCACTTCTTGGAGATTGTACGTAGGCGTGTTACACGTAGATGATATTCTTTGGCGTATTGCATCTGTAGACGATACTTGGGTTGGTGTATGTAATTATTACAATGGAAAAAATCCTGGACAATTTGATATAGGCCTAATAATAAAACTGTAAAAATAAAACTGAATTAGAAGAAATAGAAATAATGTTTTTTTTTTCATTTATAATCGTTATTATAGAGAACCTAATGCGGCTATGAGTGGGAACCATTTGTAGAAAACTCTAAAAAACAAGATCAGCTTTTGAAAAAAGATAAGATATTTACAAACAATTTCGATTATATCTAACTGTTGTGTACATCGTGAGTATTTCCATAATCTTTGAGTCGACTTTTATAAAGTCATCGGAAATTATGACCATTATTCGTTTTAAAATAACACCTGTAATTCTTCGCAATTGCTCGAATTCAAGCAACAGGTCCACTAGTTGTTATTTAAAATTGAATAACCTTATGGCAGCAAACCTGCTGACTCGGGAATGGATTTCCAATGAAATATTCTCTTCAACATGTTAGATTTATTCCCCATTTAAATAACATTAGGTTTAGTGACTACTTAAGTTTGCTGCTACAACAAGGAATGTCATAAAGTGTGTTTTATCGAATTTCCCTATAGGAAAGTAGCTATTACCTTAAAGCTATTACCATGGTAAGACCTAGGCCCGGGACCGATTTACTTTTTCATTTTTATGTCCCCAGAGGCCAAAAACACCATTCGTTAAAATTTTTATATATCTATATAAATAAAATTAGAGTTTCGTCTGTGCGTTGCTCAGAATGGCGTTGTCCTGTAATCCAGCTACTAGGAGGTCACTAGTTGTGGATATTTATAGGCATGCACTGTGGATGCGATACTCTCTGGTGTGGATTAACGTCTGCACGAGTGAGTACTACGACTATCCGCAGTACTATCCTGATAGTTAGACCAATTCCTATATACCAAGGTAAAAATGTGGTTCGGATTCTTTTACCTAGAATACATGGCCTACCTACTTAGGAAATAAATTTAAAACGTTCAAAAACCCAACATTGTGTGATTTTTTCACATTTCCTTCTAATGTTTACTAGGCATACCAAACATGGTTTATAGAATACGTCGTCTTCATTTAAATAACAGCAAGTTGTTGGGATAAGGTTGTTTTTCAAACTGTCACCGATATGTTTACATTAAAATTTGTTTACAAATAATGCAATTAATGGGAAATAACTTTGATTTTCAATAACTTTTTGTGAGAAAATCCAAAACCAAGAGAGATCAATAACCTCGGGACTTGATTTACGCATTTAGTTGGTCGGATGTACTATAGTTCTTAACTGTAAACCTTGGTTTTTCGTACTGGTTGTTTTCCTTAGAAACTGTGCTAGCAGCGAGAATCATTTTTACGTATTAACACATCACTATTTACAAATTAGTTATCGTTGGTGTTGCACCTTATTTATTACAGTCGTATTCAATTTAAATTGAAGTCATACTGTAAAAGTTTTGCTTTTTCTGTCTGGATTCCAAAATGTAAGTTTGTGCTAAGAAAATGACAACGCATTTGTGTAAAACATTTATTGAGCAAACCATCATGAATTGTTTACACTTTACGTTGTTTATGTATCAATAGTTCGTAGCCTTTGTGTTGTAAATTAAGCCTTCTAAACTAAATTGTATTTAGTAATTCATTTCATACATTAAGCCGTCATTTCGACATCATTTTGTATCATATGAGGTTATGAATTGTGGATATTTATAGGCATGCACTGTGGATGCGATACTCCCTGGTGTGGATTAACGTCCGCACGAGTGAGTACTACGACTATCCGCAGTACTATCCTGAAAATTAGACCAATTCGTATATACCAAGGCAAAAATGTGGTTCGGATTCCACTATAAATTGTAGGTCCCTTAGTTGCCATTAGCTGTATGGGATATTAATTAACAGCTGTGTCTAAGGAATAAGTCGGCCTTAGTCACTGACAAGACTACAAGATCGCGCCACTCATCATACACTCATCTCCATTACTTGGCTTAAAATACGTACTTAGTATGGTCGCCATTTCATTGAAAAAGTATAAGAAAAAGTATCTTCGGATTAAGCAAATATAAATTGTTAAAGTTTGGTGACACTAAAGTATATGTACTTCGCTTTGGTTAAAGCGTAGCAAATTCCCTAATTAAATTCTGTATTTTTGTGTGTATGTCTGTTGGTAGTGCATATTTCTAAGTGTTCCATACGGTCAGGACAAGAGCACTGGTCGCCTTACTAACCAGCTCAGACTTATTAACTAGACTACCTTTGTTTCGTCCACACACGGGAAGAATGAGCGTGCACCTAGAAGTTTGGCCAGCATATTTGAAAATATGTAAACCAACTGCTGTTTTTTATATAGGCCCTAAGGTTTTAACTTACTACTATAGGATCCCCGTGCGTAGAACAAGCACACAGCTAGTATATATATATATATATATATATACACACACACACATAGCTAGTGTATATATATATATATATGTCTGTGAACACGATAACTTGAGTAATTATTGTCCGATTTTGACTTGAATGAGTTCGCGAACCAGCATAATCCGATCATATATATCATGGGAACAGGGTTTTATGGGGGGGGGGGGGTTTATGGGGTAAAAATTTGTTTTTCTCATTTTTGACCCCTCAAAACACAAAATTTCCAAATTTCCCTCTATACCTTGTTTGCTTGTTTATGGATATATTTTGATCAAACTTGGCAAATTTATTTATTTTATACTAAGCAATTAATATTTTACTAAAAAATAAACTTTATTAGTTACCTTGTAGCAACAAACCTAGGTACTCGTTAAACCTAATGTTATTTAAATAGATTTAATTGAAAATCAATTCACATAAATGGAAATTCGCTTAGACGGCAGGTTTGCTGCGGTGGGGGCATTTGCTGCGGTGGGGCATTTTATTTAAATGTTATTGAGTGGAGCAAATGAAGATCTTATCAGTTTCATATGAAATAGATAAATTTACCAAGTTTGATCAAAATATAGGATATCCGTAAGCAAGTAAACTACAACAGTTTACTTATCATCCATAAGCCCTCTTTCAGACCAGTGCGTTGACATACCAATAAACCATCCAGTACCGGACAAAGCTGTTTAGACTATTGAATCGTATGAGAGCTTTCACACCAGTGCGGTTCGCCCGGACAGGCCCCTGTCCGGGTGCAAAAATCGCTCAGACAAACCTAAACTTCCGATACAGGACGGGATCGAATGGCTAGATTTAGAACATTGGCTTTTATGTACTCTTTCACAATTGTGCGTTCCAGGCTGGTTTTGCTTGGATATAAATAAGTAGTTTAAGGCGGCGTCCTAGCTGAGCGGCAAAAATTTGTTGGGCAGTGCGGTGTGGCGGGGACGTTGGAGCCCTGTCTCAGTTACACTTCAGCAGTGAGTGGATAAAAAAGTATGTGGTCATGCCATTCCAGGGGAAAAGGTGAAGAAAAAGCTTATTTTGCTTAATAGTTTGTCACTGACCTAAAGAAAACTCTATTGTAGAGGAATTTTTTGTACACTAGAACACCTAATAATGAAATTTTACAGAAAGGCATTAATTTGGTGAATTCTACCATATCTACTGTAATCTAGGGTTTACCCTGAATTATACAAAAATACTCAAGGATGTCAATTGAAACCTACGATCACGTAGTCTGTGAATTACCATCGCATCGCACGGGCAGCTAGGACACTCTCCTGTCTTTCCGTGCATTTGAAGTCCATGAGTGGTTTAGTGTGGTTGATTTTCTAATACTGTACTCTTGTTAACACAATAGGGAAGTTTGTTGTTTTCAATGTGGATGAAGAAATTGATATCAAGCACTTGATAAGTATTATATTTTGGTTTGGTTTGAAGGCAAATGATGTGGGACAATAAACCCTGCTGAAGCAAACAATTTTTCATTTTCATTATATTTTTATAATACTAAAATGTTTTATTATACTTGTCTGATTTATTTCATGTATTCAAATAAAATTAGGTTTTACGAACACTTAAGTTTGCTTCTATAGAAAACTTGTTGTTTTTTTTGTTTCTTTGAAGTGTTGTTTTAGCTAAAGCCTCATAATTTTACATGAATAAAATATACATTTTATTTAAAAATTTGAACTAACTTTTTTCTCTT